CTCTTTCAAGATCACTTCTGTGTCCTTTTGAGCTGTTCCTGTTATTCTTAAAGAACCATGCCCATGGTTCTTTGAACACTTTGCTTTCTGGCAAAGTATATGCTCCCCGTTCCTCTAGTACACCCCCCATTCCATTATATGTTCCCTGTTCCTCTAGTACACCCCCTATTCCAGTATATGCTCCCCGTTTCTCTAGTACACCCCTCATTCCATTATATGTTCCCTGTTCCTCTAGTACACCCCCTATTCCAGTATATGCTCCCTGTTCCTCTAGTACACCCCCTATTCCAGTATATGCTCCCTGTTCCTCTAGTACACCCCCCATTCCATTATATGCTCCCCATTCCTCTAGTACACCCCCATTCCATTATATGTTCCCTGTTCCTCTAGTACACCCCCCATTCCAGTATATGCTCCCCATGCCTCTAGTACACCCCCTATTCCAGTATATGCTCCCCATTCTTCTAGTATATCCCCCATTCCAGTTCTGGAACCCGCTCTTTTCTCCTGGAGCCCTGATTCCTTTTAGTGGAGATCTGGCCGCCAGCTGTGTTCATTGCCCTTGGTGTGTCATTGCGTTTAGGCCTTCTTAGTGGACAGAGCCAGTAAACAGATGGGAGGGAGTCGTACAAGGGGGCTTCCGAAAGTTCATGGGAAAGTGGAATGAAAAGATCATGGAATTTCTATTTGAAGCCCCCTGATATGTACACACCTCTCTGACAGTCTGTCTGGTTTCTGAACTACTTCTATTTCTGTAACTCTAGTTCTCTTTCTAACTTTCTATATTTCTCTGCTTTTCTGTATTTCTCACTCTCTGTTTCTGCATACCGTTTTTCTTTACATATTTCTCTGTTTCTGTCTCTGTCACCACGCATCTTAAAAACCATGTGTTCGTACTGATGCCAACACATGTTCTTTGTATTTTCTTTTAGAATTTGTGATCTTTACAAGAAAGAATTACCCTCCTACATTACGTAGTGTGGTATATTAATATTTAGCAGTGATTTCTTTTGCTATTTTTAATGACGAGATTATTTTAGTAAACCATGCTTGTTTTTTGTAAGTGGGAAAGCTATGTGTGTTTTCAGGGTGAAAGACAGCAAAATAGTTCCCAAATAATGGGAAACTGGGACTATTCTAAACTAATTTAAACAGTGGGAGCATTCATTGTTTCTTTAATTTTGAAATCAGCTTTTTAAGGATTTCCCAAGATTGCTTTCTTGTACCTCAGAATTTTAGGACTCTCAAAGCAAAGCTTGTGTTTAGAGCCAAGCATTCCAAAGAGGATCCTAAAAATTCCATCTGTCTTGGGTGCTGCCGGTATGAAGGCTCCTTGGTGGCTGCCCTCTGGAACAGGTTCCTCGTATCTTTGCAGAGCCTGTCCTTCTTATGTGTCTCTTTTGGCAAGTTTATGAAAAAGCCCAAAAGACAGTGGAAAGTTTTTAGAACTACCTATTTTGTTTGCCTCTCCTTCTTAGCTTTCATCCTAAAATTTTCCACTAAGTGGATGGACTGGTGAGCTGAATAAGCTTGTAGTAATTAGGACTTAAGGAGCCCAGGTGTGGTGCTGTAGGATAACCACAGGGCCACACAGTGAAGGAGCCCTATAGGGTTGCTCACTGTGAGTTCAGAACCGACTTGATGGCAGCAACAACTGAATCTACGTCTGTTCCCTCGGCGCTCATGTCAGGTCGTCCATGGTCGTCTGGCCATCCATTCCTCAGTGACTCCTGCTGATAGGCTGGCTGCCCTGGGAGCATGCCCAGCCCAGGCAGGTGGCCCACCTTGCAGGAATCTTGTAGGGATTCATATCATTGGGCAACTTGTTGGTCCTGAAGGTTCCTTCCAACGTTCAGATTTTATGATTATGGTATTGAAAAAAGACGTCTGAGAGGGGCATGAGCAGCTTGCAATCAGCTGCTAGCCTCAACGTTTGCCATTCAAACCCATCCAAAGACTCCATGGAAGAAAGGTCTGGCAAATGGCTTCTGTAAAGATTACAGCCAAGAAAGTCCCATGGAGCTCTTGTTTAACATTCTGGGTCATCATGAGTCAGGCCAACCTGCCAGCACTAACCACCACCTCCCCCAGCTGAATACAGAACATGATGACAGAGACCTCCGCACTGGGCATGACAGCTGTGTGGCAGTTCCGCTCCGTCAGAATGCTAGAGGGGGAGTGTCTCCCAAAGAGAAACCCAGCCTCCAGGAGGTACAAATTTCGTGGTGAACTGAGGGAAGTGCACTTGCCTTTGGTTCAAAGGGGGAAGACATTCTTGGTGCCCCAAATTAAGGAAAGTGATGCAATGGGTTAAAAACAGGAAGCTGCTCCTTCAACCCATGAAGAGAAAATCATACCTGTGTACGAAGTTACAGGCATGCCTTGTTTTACTGTGCTTTGTAGATATTGGAGGTCTGTGGCCACCCTGTGTTGACCCACTCTGTGGGTGCCAAGTTCTCACCCCAAGGAGAGTCCATGTCAGGATCAGGAACGGTGGCACCAACAGTCCGTACGAGACGAATTCCAAGTGTAGGGAATGCTGTCATCTCAGTGTCCTTAGAAACAATGAAATGTTCACATTGCCAGCATTGGATGAATCGATTATTTGTAGCCAGTCCTTCAGATTTGCTGAGGCATCAACCTTCGCATGGGCCTCAGCTTGTTTAGTGACTCAGAAGGTATGTGGAAACCCGTTGCTGTTAGGTGTCAGTGAGTCAGTTGTGACTCATTGTGACCCGATGTGCCACAGAATGAACAGCTGCCTGGCCCTTCACTCTCCTCACAGTCAGTGTTGTGTGTGATGAAAGGCTGCCTGGCCCTTCACTGTCCTCACACTCGGTGCTGTGTGTGAGGCCAGTGTTGCCTCCACTGTGTCAATCCAGCTCGTTGACTGTCTTCTTCTATTTTGCTGACTCTTAGCTTCACCAAGTTCT